CTATTCAGAAAAGAATAGAATCAATTCAAGGAAAAAAGAAAGAAGGAAAACTTGATAACTAATATAACAGTTTAGTAAGAGATCTGGTTACTAATTCAATTTTTAAAAAAATCTTTGTGATTCCACAATACCCAGCTAGGAAATAGCAGAAGGTAGTGATCATTTTCAAATGTGCCAAAAGACATAGTCTTCTATTTGGTTTTTTGATACTACTGTGACAGCGAATATCTGATTTTTTTTTTTCTTTTTAATTCTGAGTTACTTCCAGTTCAGATTACAAGATCAGTTTCCTTCCTGGTAATGTATTCCCCTGAGTGATGGGAAAGCTCCACGTCCACGGGGGTCTGCCACTCTGGCTGTAGGAAATGCTTGGAACTAATGAAGTAAATCACACATTAGTTTGAAGCCAAGTCTAAGAAATGCAATATGCAGGCTCCATATTTCCTTGGACTTTGCTTGCTCTTCCAGCTTCAGTATAGTTTGTTCACTCATTAACTCAAGTGTTCATTGAACAAATATTTATTGAACTGTGTGTCCACACTCTCTTTTAGGTCTTCATACTACAATAATGAGTGAGACTAACCAGGCCGCTGCTCTTTAGGAGCTCACATTCGAATCTGGAGAGACAGAAAACAGTAGACAGCAACTCATTGTATTCCAAGTTGAACGACATTGACCCTTGGGCATGTTTATCCATTATCTTTCTGCTTGAACTTGAGTTTAAATAAACTTTGACCTCCTTGGATTAAGTTCAAATTAAGTTCAAATCACCATCAAATTAGCCCTGGTAATAGTCACATGTGTCTGAAGTTCATATGTTTGTTTCTCGTGAACTTCCATCTTTAATTCTTTTCCCAGTTGTCATTCTGTTTTCCACTCACCAGTGACATAGAGGTGCGTGATCAAATAAAATATGCATTTAAAAATCCCACCTACAAAGTAAGATTTCAAAATCAATAACCATCACAAGCCAAAAGGTTAGAGATTCGGGCATTAAAATTCAAATAGCGTGAGTAAATATTTAAAGATTACAATAAAAATATGAATGAATTCCCAAGGATATTTGCAGTTTCCTGACAATGCATAAATATATATTATGAGTCACTGAATTAAAGATAATAAAGTAGAATGAGCAAGTAAAATGTAGGTTGCTTCTTAATTCTGAGACATTCCTAACAAATATTTGTAAATTGATTCTTATAATTGGAAAAACAGATATATATAAAAATTATAACCTTCACATTTTAGTAACTATGAAAGCCTACGCCTACCATTTATATTTATTAAGGTTTTTCCAAAGAGGTAAAAACTGAAATACTACGCCATGTTTTGCTGGCAAGAACTCTTAAAATTAGGTAATTCATGTAACTTTTCCTTTGTATGAATGTTTAATACATATATGTATATATATATGCTGCTAATATCTAATAAGAATATCTGAGGTGGCGCATTGGTTAAGTACTTGGCTGCTAACTGAAAGATTGGTGTTTCAAACCCACCAGCCACTCCACAGGAGAAAAGACCTGGCCAGCTGCTGCTCCTGTGAAGATTTCAGCCTAGGAAATCGTGTAGGGCAGTTCTACTTTGTCCTGTAGGGTTGCTATGAGTTGGAATCAACTAAACAGCATACAACAACAGCATCTAATAAGTATAGATAAGAGCTTATTCCAGATTTATATATTAATATATATATTTATCATAAGAAGATTTGAAATACCTTTGACATCACACATTACAAAAGAACCCGAAGGAGGGGTGAAATATCACACAAGGATTCTTTAACAACTTTTTATCTTCTGAATGATCTAAGACGCTCACGAGAATGGTGTATGGAGCAAAGAGTTCCCCAGCTTTCAACGGCACCCCACTTGCCACAGCACCAAAAGAGAGGCCTTTCTTGCCTTACTATTTGCCACAATCAGGATAAATGAGTGAAGTGAAGGAAAAGCAATTGCAGAAGGCTGGCAAAACATAAAGGCCAGTTTGCTCTGCTTCACGTTAGAGCACGAAGCTGTCAGAAGACACAGGAAGTAGCAAACAGGAGGAGGAAAGAGATTACAGTTTTCAAGGCTCTTATATGGGCCGTGGGGCTGGGATCTCTGGAACTGGTTGCGCTGAGCTTCATATTCTTGAGATGTTTCCAGAGGGAGACGATTAACATGGAAAAAAATTCAGGGCTACAGAAGAGGGTATGAGGGATCCCACAATGTGTATAGTCATTTTGCAAAGTTTTCAATGTCACTCCTTTCGGAATTCCAAGTTATGTTTCCTCCATGCGGGCACATCTGGATAGTAATATATATGTTCATCACAGGAAGACTAAAAGGCAAGAAGGCTGATGCTCCCAGCTGCATCACCAGAACTACTATGACAACTCTCTGCTTTAGGTTAAAAAGAAAACCAGGATTTGAAAAATTGGCTATCTTGAGAAAGTGAGAGGCTGAGGCTCGCGGCAAGCCACGTCCTGAAACGGTTGGCCACTGCTGTGCAAATACCAAAACGTAAAACTTTCTTCCCACTCATAAATACAAACAGACCAAACTCGTTTGAAAGCCAATTCACCATCATTACCCGAAGCACACAGATTCTGGAGGTCACCGAAGCAGTGAGGATTCCATCAACTGAAGAGATCTTTCGTATCTTGACCCAGTCAATGCAGTTCACCAACGCAATGAATGCATTCCCCAAAATTCCCATTATGAGTTCTGTACTTAACATGATGATGGCAATGCTCTGCAAGGCCCTTACCAGGTCTGCAAAGAGAGAGCCCAGATGTCCAAATTGCAATGCTGACAATTTCTTGATTGATCACTTTTAAATAGTATATTTACTAATTTCTTGGACTTGCAGTTAGTTTCTTTCTTTAAAAAATCATGGGCTCAGTATCAAGGCAGAAGGCACTAAGGTGTAGTAATGGATGGGCACATAGCTCTCTTCATGGAAAAGCATTTTTCCCAGCCAGCTAGCTGCACTCTGATCCAGATACTGTATGTTCTCGATATAAAGTGATATTTCTCAAACTTGATGGTGAAAGAAAAACTGAACTCTCATTTGTTAGCCTGCCAATAAAGACGTATTCTCTTTCATTATTTTGCCAATGTTTGCTTTATCTGGAGCCCTGGTGGTGTTGTAGTTAAGAGCTTGGCTACTAACCAAAGGTCAGCAGTTCCAAGCCACCTGTTGCTGCTTGGAAACCCTATGAGGCAGTTCTGCTCCATCCTATAGGGTCATTATGACTTGGGATTGACTCACCAGCAATGGGTTTGGGTTTTTTTTTGTTTGTTTTGCCTTATCTAATCTCTATACAATTTGTTCATTACTTGGGGTTGTTATTAATAAGGTTTAAAAATTCAATACGTAGAGATTACTCAGGGTATCTAGTCCTAACATCTCTGACAATCACGTATGCCAATTTAACCAACCAAAACAAAAAAACCTGTTGCTGTCGATTCTGACTCATAGCCATCCTACAGGACAGAGTAAAACTGCCCCGTAGGGTTTCCAAGGAGCAGCTGGTGGATTCAAACTGCCAACCTTTTGGTTAGCAGCCAAGCTCTTAACCACGACACCACCAGGGCTTGGACATTTAACCAACAGATTTAGTAAATCAGCATCAAACCGGAAGTTAATATTGACTTATTAAAAATGAAATGATCAATTAGCTATCCTAATATACGTGAGAATTAACAGATTATAAAGCGTGTAGGTTCAAATAAAAATGATAATTTTTCTGCTTAGTAACTAAATCTTACATAAATGTGTACAGGTCCAAATTGTATATTTAAGATATTTCTTATTTAAATGTCTCCAAATGAATGAATCTGAGAGGAACTACGGCTGGAAGAGTAAAGCAAGTCACATCAAATAAAAAGCGTGAAAGCTTAGAAATGTCTTTCTGTAAGTAAGCTTTAAATAAATAATTCCTCACATTTGAATGTATATATGTTTTCTCCAATAAGAATTCCACCATAATGAAACTTAATAGCATTGACCACAGGTCATGATCATGTTTTATTTGGTTTTTTTCTTATTCATTCCACTTACAAAATTTGAATTTTCTAAGATTTTCATCTACTTGTATTAAATTTAATTTTCTTTTTCTTACCATTAACTTGGAACTTTTTTTTATACAGTTTCCTGTAAATATGGTTGTCATGCTTGAATTTTATGGTCTACATCTTTTCCTAAAAACTGTTCTGTTTGCTGTCTATTAGTCATGAAATAAGAACTCATGATGGAATAAAATAGTCCCCAAACATACATCTTCAATGTGTGATTTAGAGTTGAATATCCTTACCACCAAAAGATTGAATGTCACACAATGAAATCTGAACACACTGTGGTGCAAATTACAATGGAAAGTAGCAGCTGTTTCCCGAGATAAGTTGTCAATTCCTAATAATGCATAAATACAGATAATGAATTCTTGAATTAGAAGATGATAATGCAAAATATACGTGCTTAATACAGGTAGCTCTGTGACTTTGAGAAATTTCTTACAATCATTTGTGTAACGAAGTCCTTTACCTAAAAATTTGATTAAGGGTATATTCTTTTCCATTTTTTTTTTTAACTTTTTGTTATCTTTTTTTCTGTACATTTATATAACATATATATATATAACCTTCTACTTCCGTGTAATAAGCTTAGGTAAAAGACTTTTCTAGGTATACTTTTGAAAATTTCTCAATGACATACACCATGGAAAAACAAGGAGGAAGTGAAAAATATAAGGTTTCCATCAGTTTGTTCTCTGCTACAAGACATAGGAGGAGCCCTGGTGGCACAGTGGTTAAGAGCTCGGCTGCTAACCAAAAGATCAGTAGTTCGAATTCACCTTCTTGGAAACCCTGTGAGACAGTTCTACTCTGTCCTATAGGTTCACTATGAGTTGGAACCGACTCGACCACACATAACAACAAGCAGACATAAGATGCCTCCCTTATCGACCTGGGAAGTTGAGGGTTTCCTGTCTTTCAGCTATCACCTCAACTGCCACACAACTGACAGAAAGGCTTGTCTTAGCTTCTAGTTTCCCAAAATCAGGATAAAGGAGAGGCTTGAAGGATAGACAATTCCAATAGCGAGGCCAAGCGTAACAACCAGTTTGTTCTGCAGCATCTTAGCACCCCACATTGATATGACTACAGACAGAAAGTAAATGGCAAATAGCAAGAGGAAGGAGACCACAGTTTGTATGGCTTTTATGTGGACCTTGATGCTGGACTCTTGGGATCCTTTGCCATTGAATTGCATCTTCTTGAGATGTTTCCACATGGAAAAGATTAACAGCAGAAAAGATGCCAGGGACATAGTAAAGGGTATAAACTTTGCTAGCATGAATACAGTCAGGTTTGAAAGGCTCACAATGTTACTAAATTTGGTCACCCAAATCTTAGTTCCTTCATAATCATTCATCCACATTCTGTCATCTCTGATTACCACTGCAAGGTGAAAACCCAAAAAGACCAAAGTCCCCAAGAGTATCACCAGATCCACTTGAAGAGAAGAAAAATAAAGTTAGCAAAATTAGAGATTTTGAACAAATAAAATATCCTGAGACTAGTAGCCAGCCAGATGCTAAAATGGTTGTTTACTGCCCAGGCAATAGTTATAGATCTTTCTTCTAACCTGTATAAAACTGAATTAACTGCTGTTACATACCAATCTATTATTACCCAGATCATACCAATTCTGGGGACCACCAGAGTAGTGAGAATTTTATCAGCTGAGGAGATCTTTTGTCTCTTGACCCAGTCAATGCAGTTCACCGGTGCTATGAAACCATTAGCAAAATTTCTAAGAACAAATTCTATAATTGTTATGACAGCAACAATGATTTGCACTGCACTTTTCATATCTGCTAAACAAAAAAAAAGTGCAAGCTTAATATCACTGTTTACAATTCCTTAATTTTCTGATCTAAAGTCCTATATGCATCTGATTCTTGAACTTGCAGTAAAGGTCTTGCTTTCTTGAGAGCAAGCAGGAGAGCAGCAAGGTATGCTAATGGTTGAGTTTAAAGCTGTCTTTATAAAAAACATTATTTCCAAAACAACTCAAATGAACTCTAGCTCATATACTGTATTCTTGCCATAGGCTGAAATACTGCATAGCCAATGTTGAAGTAAAAGCTGAACTCTCATTTGCTAGCATGCAAATAAAAACATATTCTCTTTCATTGTTTTGCTTTGCAGATTTTTTGCTTCGTCTAACTGCTACATAATTTGGGTTCATTATTTAGTTGTTAGTAGAATTTGAAAACCTAATATTTAAAATAAGCAGCAAATGTCTGAATTGAGAGATGGAGCATAGTCGTGTAGTGATGACCCTCGTAGGTTATTACCATTGAAGATTTATTTTAACAAAAACATTAGACCTATGTAGAAAAACTTAGGAAGCATATCTATAGGTTAGCCAAGGTTTTCCTATCAAAATCTTCCAAGTTTCCCCAAGGACTCCAAGGAAGGCCAATATTCTCAAACCTGGATGCGGATAATTAATACTGTAAAGCACCACTAGAAATCATCTAAACTCATGAGGGATAAGAATCAGGATCAGCACAGAGCTGGTTCCTATGAAGCAAAAGTCAGGTATATCTCTGCCTTCCCACTTTCACACAATTTCTGGCACCAGCAGCTCCCCTGTGGCACTCTCTGCTTCTCTGCAGGTTTGATAATTTGTTGCAATGGCCATACAGAACTCACAGACTGTACTCACAGTTATGTGGTTTATTAGGGAAGTAACAAGCTACAATTCGGGATCAGGATTAACTTCAAAGTAACAGGAACAACTTGAGATCAGGATCAGGAAGCACTTAGGCAAGGTCTGGAAGGCTTCTTCCAAGTGGCGATCACATCCCTCCCTTCATCAGTGTAGGATGGCTCTCTCGGCTGCTGTCTGCCATCCGGCCTCTCCGCCGACAGGCCTCTCCACCATTGGCCTCTCTGCTGCTAACTAGCCCAGCTCATAGTCGGTATAGCAGCCCTCTCAGCCGCTGGCTCTGCCGCTGAGCCCCTTCCAGGACTTTCACCGTCTTCAGTGTTACAGCCCTTGACCCATGTTAGCCTCCTAAAAGAGGCTCCCCTCACAGAAACCCTGAGTCCAAACCACTCTACTAAAGGCTCTTCTTGGTCTTGAGGTGTCTTCCTCCTCTTCTAAAAACCTTTGTGGGGTTGGCCATTTATATCAGCGAACTCCTTGTCAATTTCAAGGTGTGGCCCTCCTAGCGGGACCACAGTGACCAGTCCCCTCAGTGGACCACAACTCACTACATCCTACTGGGTGGCAGACTGAGGCCCAACCAACCATTTTTTGACAGAATTACAAAACCAGGGCTGGAAAGGTCATATATGAGAAAAACCCATTGCACTGCAAATGCTTATATGTAGCTTTATTGTTTAAAAGTTCATAAACACACGCATACACACTCCACCCATACTTTTAATTTGACCTTTAGAAAAATTCTAAGGTATTGGTAAGGTATGAATTATCATTCTGTAGTTTTCAAAACAAAAAATTAGTCTCAGGGAGGTCTTCTAGGCTTAAATCCCCTTTTCACACTCAAACTTTTCAGTCCATGATTAATATTTATCAAGGACGGCTCTGATTTCCCATGGTCTTTTATAAAGCTTTATCTGTTGAGTGTAATTAAATTGTTTAATTAATTATTTAATTAAATTATTTAGCAATTTTGTACGTGTTTCTTTAAAACTCATTGTGATTTTGGTTGGAAATGCATTGGACAAGGAATTGGATGCAATTGCTATCTTAGGAAATTGATACTATATATTCAAGAACATGGTATATATCTACATTTGTTCAGATTATCTTTTATGTTCAATGCAGTTTAATAAACATCTCAATGAAATATAGTAAATTATTGCAGAGATTTGCCTCCAGGCACCTTATAGTGTTTGTTGTTACTGTGAAAAAAGTTTAGTTTCAAATATCATGTTGTATTTGGTTATTACTGGTGAATAGATAGACAATGATACCTTATTGGAAATTTTGCTAAACTTACTTATTCTATTTGCTAAACTTACTTATTATACACTTCTTTGTGGATTTTTTTGGATTACCCAAGTAGGTAAACACATTGTCTGCAAAAAATATCTGCTTTGTTATTTTTTAAATTCTCATATGAGTTATTTCTTTATCTTATCTTATTGCATTGGCTAATACCGCTAGTACAAAACTCCACTTAATCCTTTAATGCAAGTAATTCTACATTTCATTATTGAGCTTAATGTTCCTATATTTGTTTAGTATACTCCTTTTATCAGGTTATTGTAATTTTCTTCTACATATATTGATTCACTAAAAAGTTTGGTCAAACAATTTTTCAACATTTGTAGCATTCAGAGTACAATCAGGAGACCACCCAGACATTAGATCAGGAAAAGTTTAATATAAAGAATTACTAACTATAACTAATAATTGGATTGTAGTAAGGAGGGACTAGCCAGAAAGAAGTAAAGAGAACACCAAAGAACATAGGCATAGCAGATATAAGGAACAGACATTATCTCTGAGACTAAGATATAGCATCCAAGTAAGAGTGCACACACACACACTCACACACACACACACACACATACACACACACACAGAGGCAGGGTAAAAAAACAGACCTTGTTGGAGACAGCACAGCCATAGCTTATTTGTGCTGCGCCAGCAAACTTTCTGGAAGTCTACCATCAACCTTGCAAGAAATCCACCTCCTGGGTGCTGGGAAAAATTGTCCACAGAAAACTGTCTTGCTGGAGGTGCTATGCTACAAATTTACTCCTGAGGCATGATGGGAAAAGTTTTTGACTGCTGGGTGCAGGATCCTGGCACTGGAGAATCTGCCCATGCTACCAAGCCAAGTACTAAAATATGACCAACTTATCAGAATTTTTTATTCTTTGGTGAAAAGGTGTGTTTAGTATATTATGTTGTTTTGTTTCACTATGTACATTTATTATGTTTCTAATATTTTATATATATAATTGCACATATATTTGCTTTTTGTCTATTTCAGTTGTTTCTTTTTTTAAATCAGACTTTAGTTTTGTTTTCAGCTTTTTTATTTTAGTTCTCTATTTTATTAATTTTTTCTTTTATTTTTATATCTCCTAATCCAAACAAGAAGCCCTGGTGGTGCAGTGGTTAAGAGCTCAGCTGGTAACCAAAAATCAGCAGTTTGAATACATCAGCTTCTCCTTAGAAACTCTATGGGGTGGTTCTACTCTGTCTGATAGGGTCACTATGAGTCAGAATTGACTAGATGGCAGTGGGTTTTTTGGAATCAAGACAAATTTTTAGCCCAAAAGCAGGAGTATAGTTAAATTCCTCAGCACTTTGAAAATATTAATCAATTGTCTTCTGGTATATAATTTTTGATAAGATTTCTCATATTATTCAAATTGTCGTCCCTCTCCAGCCCACCTTTGGAGATTGGCTCTCATTATTTTGTGGTTACTTTCTGAATTTCAATTTACCTTGATGGTTGAAATTTTATTATAATGTGTATAAATGTGGATATTTATATGATATTTCATTGAATTTAGATGGATAGACTAGAAGGGGTGCCATTGTTTTATGTACTAGTATTTATATGTATCGTTATTTTAATAGATCAGAAGACAGGAAAATATAGATAGTCCTAATAAATTACATTATTAGAGTAGCACTCACGAAAAGACAGGAAGAAAAGAATTCTCTCTGAAGTTGATTTTTTAGAGTGTTTATCTCAAAGCTGAATCAGTGTCATGCTCACTGATGAGACACTAGAAAACTCCATTTACAAACAAACAATAATAAAAAGATGTCATTTATCACCACAATTGCTTAACATTTTGAATGGCTGAGCCATTTCACAGCACAAGTCAACACACACACATACACACACACACCACACACACACAAACAGAACTATAATTAAAAGGAAGAAGTAAAATAATCCTTGTGTGCAAATACAATTTTATATCTGTAAAAGACAAGGGAATCAGCTTAAAACACAAGTGACAGTTTAGTAAAGGAGCTCGCTTCTAGCTCAATCAACAAAAAAATCAATTACCTTCTTTATATACACATTAATCAGGTATCAAATATCATAGAAAAAAATTAGAATATTCAATATAGATATGAAGAATCACATATTCTTCCATGTACCCTTTCCACAAGATTGATGTGATGGTGGGCAGCCTCTTCTTGTTGACGTTTCTTCTGAATTTCCATGGAGAACCCTATTTTACTGGGGATTGACACGCTAGCGTTTGTTGAATGAATGATGCTGTCAAATGAATGGTCATAATGCTAATCCTTCAAGGAAGTCCTCATTGGAAACTTCAAACCAGAAATAACTGGTTTTTTAATGTCATATTATTTCTTTAATGTGCTCTGTAAATGCCCACTTCTTATTTCCACTCACAGCTATCTGTATGGATTCCCAGTCCCCCCTCAGATTGTCTATGGTCTTTCTAAAGCCGTACACTGTGGAATAACACCTAAGTCGGCTCCCCTATTTTTCATTCTCAGCATTGATCAAATTACATCATTACTTGTCCCCAAACACCATTATTACATCCATTTCTTTTGTGCTGAGAGTTAGGGAAGCAATAGAATAATACATTAAACACTCAGAATATTATATATATATATATATGTATGTATTTTATAATATTTCTGCTAAGCAGTAGGTATATCTTTGCGGCTCATCTTTC